ATATGTATATATATATTCACATACGCATCAAGTTTTATGTGCACAGCTGATAGTATGACCCCAAAAAATTCTAACTCTGTCTTATCGCTAGCCCAAAGTCGATCGAAACGATCAACTGGACCCCATATTGCTAGAATTGAAGGTACAGTAGACTTCTTTTTATCGGAAACGACACTATTTCCGATCTAAACCATTTTCCGTCAATGAAAGGGACTGCTTACCGTTGATCGAATGTGAAATTGGTTTAGAAAGTTATAGTTTCAATCTGAGAGCGTCGATCTTATTTAATCTAAAGCCCATAATGTCAAAATTGGTATTTTATTTATGCAATAACAATTATTGAATACAATTTTGAAATAAAAATTTTGCGACACAAAAATTACAATAAATTGGATCAACAATTCAATATTTTATTGTAGTTTTAATTGTGCAGTAATTGCAACTTTTTGAACAATGATGAACGCTATTTATTATATGATATAATTAGTACAGATTGAAAATAATTGAACGATTCATGTAATGGAAGTCCGCTGTATCCAAGAATTAATGACTAATAATTAATAATAAATAACTCGATGATAATTAAGAGCGTTAAAATATGAAACAAATATTACGATTATCGAGTATTCTATACTTTTATAACGCTTAAATTCTACAATATAATTAATACGAAATACTAGAAATATCAGCCACTCGTACTCATTTTCACATATCGTAATAATATTATGAATAATAATTATTTATTTATATTACACAACTTTATTGAAAACTCAATTCAAAAAGCAACGACACAATATTCCTGATTTCATGTAACATTTTATTTGTTAAACGCAGTTATGTGAACTTTTCGCATTTTTGCTTATAAATAATTGCCATATTTTAATATTTAATAAATTATAATATAATATAATTTTCTCCAAATGAAATCAAATTATACGTATTTTAATTTAAAATTGAATATTTTTTTATTTGCTGTTTTTTGAAGTGAGTCGATATGAGATTTATCTCACAATAATCATATAATATTAGTAAAATACGTAAACTATTATTCTCCTTTTGTATAGTTAACCCTCCAGAAAGCACATATGCAGCAAACAAGTAATTTCGGATAACGTTTGAAAAAACTTTAGATTAATTTATAGGCTTGCTAGAGAGTCAATCATAATAAAAATTCTGCAAGAACACAGTGGCGCATCAGTTTTCCACGTTTATTCTCTAATTAGCAGTGATAAAATAAATGAAATAAAATAAATAAGCTTACCGTAGGGGGTCTCTTTCTTCTCCAGTTTAGAATCCGAACCAGATTTCGGAGATTCGGGTGTGGATGGCGTTGGCAATGCCGTCGGAATGAATTGCTCTATTGAACAGTCCGGTCCGCTCCAACCAGGATCACAATAACACTTGTTGACATTCGTGCATACCTGCGGCAAAATAACAATTTCGAGCAAATTATTAATGTAATCGTAATTCGTGTAACCTACTCATTATGCTACGAATCAAATTTCAATTCTACAAATAATCATGAAATTATCAAGGAAATTCTAGATATTATTTAATTGGAGTATAATCACATTCTAAAAGTTGGATCTTTCAAATATGTAACTCAAAAATATTTTTTTATCAGAATTATAATGTTGTAGTAAATTGTTCTGAATTGTTTCGTCCTGAAATTTGCTTACGCCATTTCCTGAGCACTCGCTGTTGTCGTGATTGCTAGGACATTTCTCTTGATCGATGTGTGGAAACAAGCTCGTACAAGTTTGATTCACGCAAATCTAGAATGTATCGTAATTGACAATTCATTAATTCGATCTGACAATTAAGGAAAAATAATATTTAAAAAAATAAGTAAAGTTACACATTTAAATTTTTACTCCTGAATGTTATTTAAATATAGCGTTATATGGTTATACGATTACCAAGTTATCACCGCAGGATGTGCCGTCACGGACCAATCCCCATCCCGGCATATCGGTTCCTTCAACTTTTCCGGTTGTAGCTCTTACAAGTCAAAATAATTGATTTAATAAAGCCAATCCAATTTAAAAAATTGATACATTTGACTGAACTGGAGACTCACTTGCACTCGTATTCCTGTTTCTTAATGGAAATTATAGTTCTAGTATAATAATCCTTCATTCCGTCAATTACCGGCTGCTTGCTTCCTTGTTCACATTGAAGGGATCCGCAACGAACGTTTCTGAAAAAAATATTTCTCATTTTGACCAATCAATATTACATATAAACTTATAAACTTCCGATAAACTGCTTTTTGCGTTAAAAATTTGAATAATAATTAAATAAAAGAAGATAATAAAAATTTGTTAGTATAGATTTTTGCATCTTTTTCATTTAGTTTCTGCTATTTCTCTTTTCTGTCTTTTATTTTGTACACTTATCTTTCTTTACACGCGACAAGAGCAATTACTTACTCCGGATCGCATTTGATAAAATGACCGCTGGGATCGGTACCGCAATGACCATTGATGGAACCCTTGGAGTTAAATTGCTCGAAACATTTCTCGTCGGCAGCGACTCCGCCGTAACCCCAGACTTGCTCGCACTGCAGATCCAAAGCCGGACACACCCCATTGAAGCAATGCCCGGCGTTGTTAGAACACGGATTGCCGTTCTTCTTGTAAACGTCCGGTGGGCACTGGCCGGTGTCACCAGAGCACACTTCCGGTAAATCGCATTCGTTTGTCAATTCGCGACAGACGACACCGCGAGGTCGGAGCTGCAATTTCATATTACAGGCGATATTTGTTATAAAAGCAATATAAGTGGTATCGAAAATGCGATTGCTTGTTTCTTCACAAGTACGCATTTAATAGAGTTAATTTTTTTTTTGGTATGTAAACACAATTTACTGACAATTCATGGCATTTTGTAGCGTTCAGTTATTTATTGAATCTGTTGAAATATCTTACCTTACAATCGTTGCAACAAGGACCGGTTGCGCATTCGGCCTCCGTTGTCAATTTGCAGGTGATAGGATCGCAGCAAGGATCGAACTCGTGGCATTCCTCGATAGTTCCGCAATCGCATTGTTCCCCGTCGTCGATTACCCTGTTTCCGCATGTCCTCCTCTCAATCTCCAACTGAAGCAAATTCGAAATCGATTATCAGAACTCATTTATTGGTTTGTGCACTTCGTCGAATTTGCTCCAATTCGAAATGCGAATGAAATAATCACGAGAGCAGATCTTCTTTTTATTTACCTGGTTTGGTTTGTTGAAAAGGCAAATGCCGTTACCGACTTTCAAGGCTTCTATATAGTCAGTTTTACTACACTCCGAAAACTTGTACGGCTGAACGTTCTCTAGGCCGACGATGGATTGAGCCATGATGCACCCGTGCCAGTCGCGGCAGTTGCAATCACTTCCTAAAAATTTTTTAACGAAAAGTTTTTTTACCGCTCCTAGAGATACTTGTGTAGAATCGATTAATATATGAAGAGTGACATGAGTAAACACTGACTTCCATCGTCGTGGCTCATGCCAATATTGTGGCCGATCATGTGAGCCATGGTACCAGCTAAAAGATGAGGCTCGTAAGTATTTAAATCGACGCTGATTCCTACGGCTCTTTGGCTGCACACGGTCGATGGTACAGCTATCCCTGATACTCCACCTGAGAATGTCTCACCTCTGCCGTTAAAAAAATCCGTAAATTAATTATTTATTTTATAAATTTAATTTGTTGTTTTATATATCTTGTACACATTTAAACTATTTAAAATACCTATTAGTAAAATTAATAAAATTAAAGTGTAATCACACATAAAAAGTTATAATGTTAAATATTAAAGAAATTAGAGATTCAAGTCGTAGGTTAAAGATTCGGGAAACGAATAACGGACTCACGTGAGCAATTGGATGGTGTCCTGAGTAATATGATACATTCTCCGCATCGTATAATCGTTAAAGTTTGACAAGGTTTGACCGATATCACTTTCGATTTTCGCCTGGTTGCTGCCCTGCCAAGTTTCGATGTATACGACGGAGACTCTAGTATTTAACGTACGGAAATACTGCAAAAAAAATTCAATTTAATATACATTCTATCGAAATGACGATGCACGTGTATTGACTTACCAAATCTGCGATATTAGCGACTTGGATGGCATCGTGAACAACCTCAGCTCTGGTACTACCGTTTCTTTTGTCAAACTATATACAAGCACAGAAATATTATTTGATAAACGTTAGAGAAGCGTATCAAATAATTAAATAAATAAATTATTAAATTGCTTTCTTCTCACGCAAAATTTAAAATTGCAAACAATTTTGGAAATAAAATTAGTATAATAAAAATTAGTATCTATTTTACAATGTTGTTACTAAATTTTATTAAATAATTTAGTATTTAATTATTTAAAGTAATTAATAATCTGAGTTCTGCGCTAGGAATGCATTAAAACATACGCGAGAATCAAGGCCAATTGAATTGGCCGATTGCTAAAAAAAATAAATTTTTATAGTTTATCATATCCGCGCACATTGTATACTTTTTGTGACTTTATAGTGTAATATTTTGATATTTTTTCGTATGTTTTATCTATATAATTCTATCACTTTTATAATTTTGCGCTTGCAGCGATTGGTCTCAAAGCATAAAATAAAAGATAATATGTATACCATAGCCTTATCGATAATGATGGCAGTTTCGATGTATTTGGTTGCTTCACGGACGTCTCTTTTGTATCGATCGGAGATGATCTCTGATAGCCCAATATGCTTCTGCCGGCGACTTTTTACACGCTGATCACTTCCCATGTTAGCGCAGCCTTTGTTAGCTTTCGTTCGGGCTTCAAATATAATGTGAGGATGTTTCTGCTAAAAGAGAGGCCTGCATATAGTTTATGCCTTTGCCAACCATCTTGTTGCCACGCCTGTGCTCGACACTTGACGTTCCATTTAATTATAGCATGACCTAAACTTCCGCCAAGTTACTTCTAATCTAGTAATAAAATCAAAGCAAATCAACCAACTCTGAGACTTTTGGTCTAAATTTAGCCACTTCCACCAATTTTATTTTAAGGCTGTGCACGAGTTAGAATAAAATGACGAAAAAATTAGATTCTCATTTCTTCAGAAGAGCAATCAATGTATCTACAAGCATAGCATTATTAATTTTTGTCAGCAACATTGTGCAAAAAAGTTATTTTGAGAATAGGTATATATTAATGAGAGAATTGAATGCGCATAGTTTGATTCGTTTATACTTCGATAATGTCGCACATACGCCGTCACTCTAACATTCTTTTTGAATAAATTACTGACCGACAAATCGCCGCCGTAGAATGGATGAATGACGAACGTCTCGTTGCCTAAATGAATGACACCGCTGACACCGTTACACGTGTGAAAAGCAGCGCTAGCTCCCGGATAATCTCTCACGGTGCCGTGATAATAACAATGTTCTATCTCCTGCAACAATTAAAAACACCATTATAGATTTTATCGATAAAAACCTTCAAGTTCTTCTCTTAACATTTAACCCTTGCGTGAAGTTAAACTTTATATGAATTTTAAATTTCGCTATTTGTAGTACCGCTTTTTTATAGCAAAATAGATAATATATATGCTTGCACATATGACATTTTTCTCTTTCTCTCGTGTGGCGTTAAAATAACTTTGTCATTTTCAAAACCACTTTTTTCTATCCCGCCCTTTAGAAAGACTTATAGTAATAATGAAACGTTATTAACACATGTCGCGTAGGCGACCAGCGACCTACGCTGAACTTTTCGCTGAACATTCAAACTATCTGAAATTTTATAAATGCATTCTACATGTTATATCTTTTTTCAATAATTTTTGCAATTTTGTAACATATAACTTATAAACATATATGTATAACAACTTCCATATATGAATGGAAGGCCGCGTAAAATCAACATGACACGCAACGTGTTAAAAGCAATTACTTCCAAATTAAACTTGTTTTAACAAGCTGCAGAGCAAAGTAACTAATTATGCAAAACAATTATATCTTTATCAACGACCGTGCATGTCGGTTTGCATTATGTGAATACTTAAATGTCATTAGGTTGCCGCATGTGAGATTGCATTTACTCGGAATACATTACCTGCTTAGACACTTGTTCCGCGTTGCCGACTAAAAAGTCTTTTTGTCCAAGGTTTGGAGCTAAAAGTTGCCTGCAACAAAATGATTCTTAATCAATAAACTAACTAAATTTTCTAATTAGATTCTTTATAGTCCGAGAGATTACATTTAAAAATGTTATCAACATTTTAATTAGAGAGCACTTACGTATTTAATTCTAAATCTAGGCGAAATTTGTGATTAAAGGCCTTGATCAGAAGGGACGTCCGGTGAAAATGTCTCCCTGTCTGGAAATATCAACATTACGATTATCCTTCAAATGCTAAAGATATTTTGGACAAATCATTCACACAATTATGTTTAAATAATTCATTTCAAGGTGTTTTCTTTTTGTAAAACTTACTCTCATTCTGCCTCTAGAATTTTGATATCCTCCATCTCCGTAACCTCTTTGAGGAAACTAAATTGCAGTAAGGATAACGATTAGTCATTGATAAAATATTATTATGATTTATTTCAATTGAATTTTTTGCCCGTCTTGAATTTTATTCAGTCTGACAAAGACTCTTGTACGGCGAAGTGATACAAAAAGTAACAAAGTGCGATGGGATACCTTCGATATGCCGACTTCTCTCGTGGAGATCCCCATTTTCTCGTGATGCCGTAGCTGTACCGGATAGATGATCTGATAGTAATGACCACCGATATTTCGTACTAGCTCCTGGTTTTGTCGATATTCGCGTAGTAGTCGTTCGACCTCACCTGAAATTAATTTCCACGTTCAACCGAACGTTCAATCGAACGCCCTAATTTCACCCCCCTCTCCCTTGGCCTCACTCTTTCACCCACCCTCCTACGATCTCTAATTTCATCTCGAATGGACTTTGGGGCGATTCATTGCACCGCATCGACGAAATTTCGCGCTATTGCCATTAGCCCTGTCCTCGCGACCACCATCATCAAAATTTTACTCCATATGACTCAATAATAAAAGCAGTAATAGAGTAAATTTTATTGTCCTATTCTCTTTGTATCTCCATATTAGCTCTCTCAATATCCATCATTCTCGAAATTGATTTCTCATGCGAGTATGAAGAGGAGGAATTTTCTATCAATTTTCCGTGCTTTATCCGTGAAATTTATAATATAAATACATGTATTTAATTATTATTAAATTTGTACCTTTTAATTAATAATCTAGTTTGATTTAAAATATTGAAATTATTTGCATTTCTGTTATTGCTGTTATTGCTATTGTTTACAATTTATATTTTTTATCAATAAGTTTATTCGCTTTTAATTTATAGTTAAGAGATACCGGAACGCTTTGCATGTTGAAGAATTGCCATTAGCTAGTTCGACAACAGATATTGATTTGTAGGCCGACTATTTCCTGCGATTCGCGAATCGCTTATTTCGAGAAGTTTGCGCGCGCGATTCGCGAATTCAATTTCCAGTTCTACTCTTGAAGCGTCGCCCAAACACGCCGAGATTACTCGCCGATTAATTTATCTCTTTCGCGCCGCCCGTCACTCCTCCCGCCGATTATTGTTAGTGCTGCAGAAATGTCGCGAGTTCTCCGCGCAAATTGCGATTAATTCAGCCAACTGCCATGACTGCCATCGTTATGTTTCTGTTATATTATAAGTTACGGTTTTGCTGCATTATATAAACGCTGCGGCAGGAATTCGTAGCGCAACTTCGATTTTCCATCAGAAAATTCTGACGTTCTTTCTACACTTTGCGATTCTTAGAATTCCTCAACTGCTTGGATTCTAAGATAATCGGATTTTTTCATGATCGTTGAATTTTACATTGTCTTTATACATATTATCTACACAGTATTTTATGCGCAGCGTAAAACTTTTATTTTTAATTAAACTCCTTAATTCTTTAAATCCTGGATTTTCTTTCTTATCAAAGCATGTCGCGTGATGCTTTTCCCGACACTTTCCATCCAGAATTATTTCGATCGCAAATTGAATTTGCTTCGCAAATAATAGATATTCAAATGGTATATCAAATTAAATTAATTTTCATGTAATGTGGCAACAGTTATTGCTGCTTACTCGCGTACGCTCAACACCGCTTTACATTCTAATCTTTAATTAAGCTCCTTAATTCCTGCATTCAGCGTTACTGAAATACATTATGTAGAATTTTCTCAGCTTTTAAAGTCAGATTAAAACAAATGCTAGCCGGAATAATTCGAAATTTTTCTCTCCCAGCTTTTAAAACAGATTTCCCATTACGCAATCATCGTAATATCTAAGCCGGAATTCGTGCCGTCGTGCTCCGTCTCGGTGCATTGTCCTCCTCTAAAATGTAATCCAATTTAAGTTTCGCGTTTCCGACCAATCAGCGGTGTTGACTTAACAATAAACCGCTCTCGAGGATTTGTCGTATCCTCGAGGATCAAGTTTCTAACGAAAGTGCTGCATTGCGGTCCTTCTACTTTACGGTGGTTTGTTTACGCAGAGTCCGCGCGTTATTCCACAGCCGTCGCAATCGCGCAAAAATTGCGACAGCATGCATTTGCAAATTTTTCCTCTTCCGCAAAAGCGGCATACATTAATAACGTAAATCGATCGTGCAAAAAATAATTTTTCTTATTCAATCAAAACTAATTTTAACAAAAATTTGAAATAAATTAGTTAACTTGAGAAATAATATTTATGTTCGCTTATTAAATTTGAAAAATTTTATGAATTGGTTGATTATATTTTAAAATTCTATTAGTTAAATTTTAATGACATGGAATTAACTTTGTAATAATTTTGTGCCAGCAAAATGGCATTATATATGTCTACTCACCAACGGGAGTTTCTTCTTCTTTCCAAAAGGAATCATCTAAAGTGTAGTCGGCTTCTAAAACAAAAAGAAAAATTTGGAATAATTTAATAATGTCTACTAAACACGAAGTGTGATATAAAAAAAAAATAATTTTCCAAAGAGGAAAGTAAATAAATAAGTAAAACAATTATGTATAGCTCCACTATTTTTTGCAATGATCAGTCAACACTAATGTTGTCTTAAACCGGCACTAACAGCAAAAGGTTTAACAATGAACCAACATGGCATGTACTCAGGTATTTTAGTGGTTCACCTGAGAGTTTTAGACCGGATGAAGTTTAGCGAACTTTCTCGAGCAAAGCAAACTCTTTACCGACCATGTCCAAACAAGGAATCGAGGATCAAAAGAATAGAGGATCAAAGGATCTAAGATGCTTAGGATTTTGGACAGCTCATATCCAAAACGCCAGAATGCCAAGAGCATCTCAGATAAGATTATTTACTTAGTCTATGGCAAATTCTAATTTAATTGAGATTTATTTTGAGCATTAATCTCAAAGGTATTTAATATTGGATATTGAAATGTTTCAGAAGCACGGAATTTAATTAAATTTTTATGTAACTTATATTAGAGCATTATTTTACATCGAAATTATATAAAATATTCTGTATGTTACTAATTCTTTTATTGGCTTTAAAAATATTCTGTTTAAAATATCGTGAAATATCGCAGTAATAAAGGAAGTAACAATGACGAATGTTGGATGATTTAATATTGAAATATTGTAATGAATCTGTTAATTATGCATCAATTACACGTCCATTATTGCCATATATTTATCTTCCTCATTTATCACTTACACAATATTAATATGGCAATCTAATCTTTCCGTTTGCAATACTAACAGAACAATTTTCTTGTTTTATCCAAATATCGGATATTATCTTCCGTTTACGGTTATATGTTGACTCAAGCTTTATTATTCCTTTGTTCAGTTATCGTAAAATTATACGTTTCTTTCGTATAAAAGTCAGTTAAATGAATTCGCACAATTCATCACATCTTGCGATCTGGATTGCGCAAAAGGCCAGCGAGAAAAAGAATATACGGTATTTGCACTTTTATCCTTCGCAAGGACGAGAATGAATGGCGAAACTTTTTCATCTTGGTGCAAAATTCTTCATCGCAAAATTCATAAGACAGACGTAGCGCCGGATAAAGGGAAGGCGGTTTACACTGTCCTACTTCCGGGACTGGAGCACAAAAAATCAGCCGAGGGCGAAGTCGCCCCCGAATGAATCGGAGTCAATGACGCGGCGGCTCTATGACGGCGATTCTTAACCTTCCCGAGCCCTTCGGGCTTCCCGAGCGAAACCGGGGCATCGCCCTTTCGCGACTGGCTGGCTCGGTGGAACTTTTTTTTTGATCGCCAATGTAATATTTACCGTTGAGCGAATAGTTACGAAATAATTTATATCGCTTATCTACGTCGTCGCAATTTGATTCTTTTTCACGTCTAATTCAATATTAAAATCCCCAAACTCAAAGAAACAAAATCCAAATCGAATAAGATCGATGTAGGAAAGAATATGAAAATTGAAGAAAGTTCAATTGCCTGACAAACTTGATAATTAAGTTATCTATAACTCGAACGTCCTGTGAAGGATTCAAGCATTACCCAAGTTTCGAAATGTCATTCACAAAGGGACGCAGGTGCGCGTAAAGAGCGGTATAAATCTGCGCAACGTTCGGGTAGGTTCGGTCTGATGTCATTGAACGGAGAATCTAATAATCTAGTCATACAAAACTGAATAAATAAAAGCTTGAAAAATCCCTCTGAAATAAAAGACCAAAGTTTCTCTTCTGTATCTCCTCTTGAGAGGAGAGATAAGCACGCGAGAAGGATAAAGGGTCCCCAAGGATGTCTTAGCCAGGTTCAAAGTGGGCGTCGTGTTGCCACATACGGGAGCTGAACAATCGGTTTATCCAGAACTCAAAGAAGAAGCCCGGCTTCAAAAGAGAAATCCTAAAATCTCCTAAATTTTGAAGTACGCGAGAAAGAAATACCTAAAAACGGCGCATAAGCATTTTTATCGAGATCCAGGCGGCGTGTGTCGTTGACTAAAAGTACGCGTGGCTTAAAAATTTCCAAATTAAAATTGAAGTTTTGCATAATATGAAAAGAACGAGCACGCACGCAAATTGAATAAAAAAAACTCTCGAGGGAATTTTAGCTTGGCTTGAGGCACCATGTCATCGCATACGCGACTGAACAATCGGTTTATCTAGGACTCGAAGAGTCGCGCTTCAAAGGAGCTTGAGATCGCCCAAGTTTCGAAGCATGCTCAAGAAGGTAGCGCGAAAGGGCGCGTGAGAGAAAGAATAAGAGGGGGGGGGAGAGAGAGAGAGGAGGGGAGGGAGGGAGGAGAGAGAGAGAGAGAGAAAGAGAGTCCTGGGCAAGGTTCGACTAGGTTCGGTTCGGTGGCATTGCATATCCCGGCACATCTCGCAGGTGCACGGGCGTGGTGCCTTGTCGGCAATATCGATTACAAACCCGGGCGGTTGCGCATTCACGTCGACACGTGGACGTGGACCGGCAGCTAGACTAAATTTGTGTTGCCCTATATTTTAGGTTCTCGCACTCATCTGCCTCTCAAAGATTGATTGCTCGTCCCTCTGTCCCTTTCCTTCTAGCCTTCTTTCTCATTCTCTCCACTTCTCCCCCTCCCCCCTTCCTCCTTCCCCCTCTCGCCTATCTCTCCGTCCCCGTCTAGGGAAAGCTGTGCCGGAAGTGTCTACCCTTCAGTCAGATTAAGGTTCTAAGGTTCAAGCACCGGTTCAAGGATGCAGTATCATAAAATGTTTAAAGCTGTGCAGATGAAAAATACTAAATGTTTCAAATAAAAATTCACTTTTCTAAAGATGTGCTTAAAAATTATATCGGTTCTTTAAATTTTCTTTTTAAGGTTTCAAATTAATTTACAAAATAAGATATTCTCTGAAATATCCTCAGTTGGAAATATATTCAACTTATTATTGTAAATACTTTTCGGAGATTTGATTATTTGCGCAGAAGCTGTATATTTTAAAAAGTTAGTGTTGCGGATCCGAGAAATTGCGAGGTATGTGTTGCCGAGTTCCTAAAATTTCTTCACGACTCGTTGCCGGAGATAAACTCTCTAAGTTGCAAGTCTGTTTTGTCCGTTCCGTTGAATTTATTTGGTACAGAGAGCATATACTTGACGAACACCCTGGGCTTAAACTGTCCCTTTATTTTAAGGTCTTTTAACTTTATTGCCGTAGAAAGCGACAGCTGTCAATTCTTTTGTATCCAAGACTCTTCCCGTCCGCCTATATTGATTTCTTTTCACAGTCGTAAACCATTTCTGCGAAAGACTCATTTTGTTCGTAAAGAAGGCAATCCGCGAATTTAGAATTGTACGGGTTTTCAAATAATTACACGATTCTCGGTCTCGAAAAGTTCAACGTCTTAGAGTGAATAATCTGAGCATCGAAAACGTCAAGAATTTATATGTAGAATGGAGAAATCATAAGTTTTACGACTTTCAATTGAGAAAACTAAAGGCTTTAGAAGATTTAACATTTATTATAACAAATCTATATTTTGTTAGAATATGACTAACATTTATACAATTAAAATTAATTAATTTATTATTTATTTATTATAATAATTAATTAACAAATAATTAAATCAAAGAGTAATTGTTTTCCACAAAATTATTTTAAACTATTTGATTTATTAAACTGTTAAATTTTTTTTTTTTTTGAAAGACAAACAACGATAACAATCTATACGTGTCGACGCAAAAACAGAAAGCATCTGAATTGTCAGCACGAAAGTACGGAAAGTAATTTCCTCCAAAATTATCGGCAGCTGTGTCGCGCGCGTCCCGAAATCCCGCGATTACAGCCTTAAACCCACGCGCAATCCTAAATCCGCAGCATCCCGCTCTCTCCAGACTCAAAGGGTTGCGTCTCCACTTAATGGAGCCGCGTACGTTCGAGATAAATTGCCGACGTGGAAATCCTTTTCCTGCGCAAACTATTTATCCCGAAGACCGGCATGGAAACGTTTTTCGATGGGATGAGAAGCCGCGAAGATGGCGAGAGGGGCAACGAGTCGGGAAGAGAAGGTGGAGTAGAGTAAGGAGAGTGCTGTGTGAATGACGAGCCGGTTGAAACATACAATTTCAACCCTTTTGCCCATTTCTATTTACTCGCTTTTTCTTAATTCTTCGAGGTCCCTCGCAGATCTCGGGATTTCAAGATTTACGGGCTCACAAGGATGCAAAAATCCAAGGGTCAGAGAATTATTTACGCACGTGCACGCGCAATCCTTAAAATAGATTTCTGTTCAATTCTTGAATAGCTGAATCTTCAAATTAATTTTGATATTATTGTACAATTATTGACGGATTTAAAAAGTGAAATTCCAGATTGAAAAAGTCAAAGAAGTTTTACGCATTTCTACGAGAAGAAGCTTAGGATTTAAAATTAGAAAAGAAAAACGATGATAAAGTCACTTTACTGCATTTCTGAAACTGATAATAATGTATCGCATGATTATTGCAACTGGAAAAGTAAATTAAAGTGAAAGTATAATTCGTGTTTACAGTACAGCAACTTCTTTCTGTTGGACCAATTTCTTTCGCTTCGGAGGTTTTGATTTTTGATTTACTCTGTCACCATCTAGCACGCAAGGAAAATCTAAAATCGAATAAATATGCAATCAGACGCGAACGGAGTTTCGCTTTGAATCGCCTTTCCTCTCGGAATTTGTCTCTCTTTTCTATGTTTGTCGCAACTGTTTATTTCCTGCATTTATGGAAGATTGGCGAATCCCAGGCTGCAGGTTGAACAAATACTTGTACATACGACATCTCGGAAATACTGCCACTCCTTTCATCTACGAATTCTTTGATCAAGTTAAAGTCACTTATAACGAAAGTTTTACTGAATATTACATTTACAATATCAAATATTACAATAAATTCTCTTTTAAAGTTTCAGAATAAAATCTAAATTTATTAAAATCTAATTTAATCCAACCCGA